CGGATTCCTTCGAATTCTTTTTACATTTTATTATTCTTTTTATTACTTTTATTTTATTTTTTTTTTCTATTACCTTTTGAGATCCTTACGAGGATTAATTGAATGAACATAGATCCTAGCGAAGAAACAATCCAAATCATCCAGGAAAACACAAGGATCCATAACCAAGTACAACGACAATACACCCACGTAAGGGATATATCACAAGCACATAAAGATATATCTTGTTCCATTTGTCACTCTATAAATCGGAATTTCTCACCACAATTTCTAATCTTTTGGGATTGGGTACAAGAAACACATCAAGCGATAGAGTGCACTTCAGAAACAGTAACCACTTTTGAACAGATATTACTAGAACAGGTCCAGTTCAACTAATACAACTCGTCAGAGTATTATTAATTAGTGTTAGATACAGAGTATACCCAAGAAGTTTAAATAAAATAGCCCAGGATTACTTTTTAGCAGCTAGAGGAACTCACCATTTTAGTATAGTATTAGACGAAGTTCTCCGGAACCTACAATAGAAGAAGATAACCCTAGTGAAAGTAGTGACTCAACAATAGTTAGTGATTCAAACTCAGATAGCGATACAGACAGTAACTCAGACGAATCAACATTTGGTTTCGACCAACTTTTTAATCAGCCTAACCACCAACAACAGTCTAATACAAATGAATCAACAAAACTTGGCAACTGCAATAACTCAAGCGGTAAATGCAATAGTGCCACCACAACCTGCTGTGACCGAATTGAATAATGTTAAGTACCCAGAATACTATGGAGGAGACCAAGACCCAATCACATGGTTGGAAAAAATGGAACAAGCCTTTATAACGAATAGAGTAGCCAATGATAGAAGGCTAACAGTAACAGTGCCAAGACTAAAAGGAGGAGCTGCTACATAGTGGACTCAAGTCGGAGGAAATATAGACCGTTGGAATGATGCTCATAATGCTGCTACAATTGCAGCAAGCTTTGTTCCGAATTTCCAAACTAGATATAGAACTAGAGCCATGGAAGAAGTTTGGGCAGCTGAATTAGAAAAACGAAGACAATTACCTGGAGAGACAGTAGATGCTTTCGCAGCACACATATATGAATTGTTCAGGAGAATTGAACATGGGGGAAACAACTATCCACATAGAATCAAAGCAAGAATGTTCATGGAAAGGTTACAACCAGAATTATCCATAGCAGTAAGTCCATTCTTACCCGACACTATCTAAGATGCAATAGATAGAGCCAAGACTTATGAGATGACATATTCTAGAGGAGGAACCTTGTCGGTATATTCAGCAGAACAATTCATGCCTAACATTCCAGGAATGAATCAAGGGGTGAACCAACCACTACAAGGGCTAATTGATCAACTGATTAACCTAATAAAAGGAAATAATAATGTCCAGCAAAGACCAAGGTTCCAAAATGGTGAAAACCGTTCACCGGTAACATGCTACAACTGTAAACAACAGGGTCATATAAAACCGAATTGTCCACAACTCTCTAATAGTAATAACAGCAATAATAATGGCAATAGTAATAATGGTGGAAACATAGGAGTCAGATGTTATCGTTGTCAAGAATTAGGACACTAAAGCAAAGACTGTCCACAAAACAATAATGGTAATAATGGAAGGAAACAACAACAACAATAATAGTCGTAACAATAATTGGAACAATAATAATAATAGTGGTAACAATAATGCGACCAGAAACAATAATAATAACAGTAGTAATACCAATAATCGGAATACCAATAATAATACTCAGCAACAATCAATGTTGGCGGATATGGTTGTAGGTAATACAGTGAAGTTAATGTTACCTGTGGAAACAAAAAAGCAAAAGATTACCGAGGAAGGAACAGGTGTAGCAATGGATATACAATCAGATGGAAGTGACTCTAGACGAAGAAAGGAACCTAAACCACAAAATAATGAAGGATCAAAGGAAGTAAAGAAAAAGACTAAGAAAAACGCCCAGGAAAAAGAGAAATACAGCACAACCACCAATTTCGAATTTGATACAACCATACTCAGTGGTAACCGATATCAAGAAGCAGAAAGCTGATATTACCTTCGGGCAATTATTCCAAGCAGCACCAAAATTGACATCGGAATTGTCTAGGAGTTTACGAACCCCACAAACAAGAAGAGTTAAGAAAACAACACCGCAGGCTGAACAATTAAATGCCGAAATAAGATCAACTGCAATGTACTGCAAAGCAAGTATCAATGGAGGAAGCTTTCCTATAATTATAGATAGTGGAGCAGCAGGAAGTATACTTCCAAATGATTGTTAGATAAGTTAGGAGTAAAAATTCCGCGAAAATCATCTGTTGTAATCATCAATGTAAATGGACAAAAAACTTCACCTTTGGGAGAAGTAGATGACTTACCATTAACCATTGGAGGAATAACAATTCCATTATCAGCAATCGTAACAGAAGCAAACGCTTATAATGCTATCTTAGGGAATGATTGGTTATCCAAAGTAAATGCTGTAGTGAATTGGAGTGATTCGAAATTAACATTCTACTGGATGATCAAAAAGCAACTGTAGAAGTGGCACATAAGTATGGAGAAGAATTACCATCAGAAGAAGAAGATAATGAATCTGATTCGTCAGAATATGAAAGCTCAGATTCAGATGGAGAATTAGAAGTATTCGTGTCGGAACAACACTCCAGAAAAACGTCCCCAATGGTAATAAGATATGAAGAAGAAACCAAAGAAGAAACCGAAGAAGAAACTAAAGAAGAAACTAAAGAAGAAACTAAAGAAGAAGACACCAATTATAATGATGACACATACCCAGGAATCATAGATGCATACAATCTCACAATGGAAAAAGTTGAAAGACCACTTACGACTATGAGGGAGGAGTAGCACATATTTCGGGGAAGACACTACCCATGCGAATGTGGAGAAGAAGACCATCATAATCATTTTCGATGCAAATGGTGCAAACAATTATGCAAAAAGATGTAGATGCAACTGGGAGGAAAGGATACAAGCTTACAATCTAAAGGTAGAACCAGAGGAAGAAATAGACCAATTTGCAATTGATGTTGGAAAAGAACTTGACGAAGAACAAACTCAACAACTCTCCGATTTGTTGTATAAGTACCATGATATATTTGCTTGGGAGAAGTCCAACATTGGAAGAACCAACATGGCTTATCATAGTATAGACTTAACTGACTCAAGGCCAATTAGACATCAACCAAGAAGAGTATCTCCTGATAGAAGGAAGTTTATCCAAGAAGAAATACAAAGAATGTTAGACGCGGGATTCATTCGTGAATCAAATAGTGAGTATGCCTCAGGAGTTGTAGTAGTAGAAAAGAAAGGAGGAGACTTACGGTTCTGTGTAGATTATAGAGACTTAAATAAAAAGACCAAGAAGGATTCTTATCCTTTACCAAGAATTGATGATATTCTAGAAATACAACATTCTTACCATTAACAATATCAAAATCTAACTTAGTTTGCAATCTACCACATCTATTGCACTTTGACAATTCATCATCCCAATACTTTTCTTCACATCTTTCACAAACCATGTCATCTGAAATTCATTCTCCAGTTACTTTGCTACAAGATCTTATTTGGTGAACAGATTTATTATTTTTGTTTTCAAATTTAGAGCAAAAATCACAAGTTTTTTTACTTTCTTTTTCCAATTCTAAAACTGTGTATTCCAGTTCTCTCATTGCAATTTACTCTTTATTTAGACTTGACTTCTACTTGAGCAATCATTTCTTGGTTGTGAAATTTTTCCTTTTTGATTAATCTTTGTAATTTTTGGAACTTAACTTTTGCTTTTGTTTTTAATTGCTTAAAAATGTTCTGTTCAGTTGATAACTACAGGTAAAGCAGGTAAAGGTCTATTATCTAAGTAGAATGAATTCTTTAGATTTTCATTTTGTGTTTCATTATCAGTTAATTGCTTGCTTAGTTTTTCTATTTTTTTTGCTCTTTTGACTTGATTCTTCCTCCAACTTTTTAACTCAGGCTTCTAGATGAGAAATCTTTTTACTATCACTCTTGAGTTTCTTGTTTTTTCTTTTATGTCTTCTGCTTGAGCTTTACTTCATTTTTCACCAGTTGCTATGACTTCCTCAATTTGTTCCTGTTCTATTTTTTTACCTTGGACTCTGTCAAAAAATAAATTGTTTTTTGTTTTCCAAAAAAAAAAAATCAATCAATTTGCATCTGTCCTGCCCAAAAAAAAAAAACCAATAGGATAAATAATTAATTGTACACATCAATCAAATCACAAACTTCTTTTTTCTTTTTAAAAATTTAAAAAATGATGAAAAAACGCAATTAAAAAAAAGAGATTGAGAAAAGAGACTAAAAATACATATGGGTTTTAAGAATAAGGATGGTGGTGGTTATTGCCTGCCACTTGTCATTACTCTAGTTATGTAGATAAACTAACATTTTTTTCTTAAAAAAAAAAACACCAAATGAACAAAAAGAAAAAGAGGTGATCACTCAATCACCAAGAGGACTATTTCTGATGTTGCACTTGCAGTATGTGAGAACTGATATTCTATTTCATCACACATTTGAATTTGTGTATTTAGTACAATCATTCTTTGTGCTTAGGATATCCAGCCTGATAAAAACAATGTAAAAATACAAGCAGATGAAGGTAAAATGATAATAACCAAATATTTTGTTTTCAAAACCATGATACTATGTATATTCAGTGACTTTTTTAAAATCTCAATTTAGATGGACCCATTCCGAAAAAATCTCACATAATTCACTATACACTAGATTACAAGGCGTCTACACTTGCCATTAATTCTACCATATTTCAATACTTCCCTGTCAATGTGCTGAGCAATTTTGGCATGCTTCATGCTGATCCCAAATATGCATATTTTGACAGAACTCAATACATATCAACACTCAGCTATTTCAAAGATCCAGTTATAATTTTTCCTGCAACCATGCCGGTTTGGAAAATCACTGACTCTCAGTATGCTGGCCCATTTCCATGGGATTGAACACAAAAAACACTACGATGAGCTTTTTAAAGACCTTGTGATCAATGAAGATGTCAAAGCTGGAAAAATCTGCTCAAGTCAATACCTTGTGTTGACTTTCAATTTTGCTGATCTTAATCACTCTCATGACTTCCAAGTCACAGTGATCACGCTTAATGATATGATTAACAATGCAATCAAGTGATTTTATTCAACATATGCATTGCATTTGGATGACAAATCAAGTGAGCAACTAACACAAGATTTTATCAAACCTGACAATGCTATTTCTAGACTTGAAAACTGTGTTTGGATCATTCAGGAAACACCAACAATGTGAAGGGAATCTATCTTCTGGTTGATGAATATGATGCTTTCAGCAATGAATACTTGGATCTGAATGATGGTAGTACCTGGAATGAATCCCAATCATTGTTAAAAGGTTTCTGGGCACAGGCGAAAGCATGCATGACAACAAATGAGATCAGTAGGTGTTTCATCACTGGTGTTTCTCCACTTTTGATGGCTGATTTTACAGTGGTTTCAATATCATCACCAATGTCACATACAAGAAAAGTCTCTCTGGATTGTGCGGCTTTACTAATGAAGATGTGCTCAAGGCCCTGTGGGTACCAATGATGTGTGGATCAGAGGAAACCAAGGTCAAAGACATTTCAAAATCATGAAAAAGCAGTTTGGCAACTACCGTTTCTTTCAATATGGTGATGTTCTGTCTGTTTTCAATACCAACACATGTCTCAAGTATCTTCAATGTATACATGAACGAGAAATTCCACCAGATCATCCTTCCAATTCAGAAGTATCTGAATGACTGCTTTGTGTGTTTGCCTCCTCTTGTGTTGCCACAAGTATTTTTGAGCAGATCTCTGCTGATTCTTGGTGTGCTCAGATTCCATATGAACAATTTTGAGACATGTTTAGTCTTTCAAACTTGATAAAGATATCACCAGAAGTAGATCAGCATGGTTGAGCTTTGTGCTTCATGTTGGAAGTCTCACTTTTGTAAAAAAAAACACCTGAAAAGCTGCTGCAGATCCCTAATCTCATAGTTGCTCAACATTTTGTTGAAGCTGTTCTTGACCATTACAAGCTCAATGTTGATGATGTTGTGAAAGCTCTGCAGCAGGTTGTATCAACTGGTGATATCTTAGTTCTCTTGGGTTACTACAGACATTTGGTGAGTGAGCATGATGTTGGTGATGATGACCTTACAAGCAAGTCTGAGGAAAACCATTGAGATAGTTTCTACTATATACTTCTCAAGAATCCGTGCTGCTGCAAACAAAAATTGAGTTCAAGGTCGCCAAAACCTTCTAAATCTCCAGGATGCCAGCAACAACAATTATGATCATATTAGAGTGGAAATTCATTAGAATTAATTTCATCAACATTAAACTGGTGGTGAAGTCATTGTTATCACCATACAGATCAGTCAATGTTTGAAAGGCAGAAGCTCTGAACATCATCTCAGATCTGAACACTATACTTAACCTTAAATTTGCCAGTTATGATAAGTTTGGATGCAGTGGGAAAACAATCAGAGAATGGATCTTGCAATGTGATGGGCCTGCTTATCAACTCAACCAATGCTGGACAAGCCAGGAATCATTCAACTCCGCAAAACACACAAGGTTATCAGCTATCTGGTAGTTATCATCAGCTCATGCAAGATCTTGGTATGGTGATTGGGTGATAAGGGTCAGTTGGAAAAGGAACCTATATTAGCGGGTTAATGAGTTTTAATGAGAAGTGGATTTGTATTATTATTATTTCAAAAAAAAAAAAAACAAAAAAAAATTCAATAATTAAAGCAAGCAGAGAGTGTGAGATAAAAAAAATAAAAAGTGAATTGTAGGTTATTTTGGCTTGATTACTGCGATTATCTTGTATTATGATATTGAATGATTAAAAGGTTGACAAAGATAGAATCTTAAGCCTGATGCCTGAATGATGTCAAATGTTCACTTTGTCTGGTTTTGTTGCAACATGCCCCAAATGATTCTTTCGACTACTAGAAATCTAATTGTAACAATCCTCGAAATAATATGTCACACAAATGGCAATTAATTTTATTACCATATTTGGTAATCAGAGGAATTATTTTTTTTTTTATCGTTAATTAAAGTTAATTGGCAATCGGGATTTTTGTTAAAGAATTATACATATATTATTGTTATCGTTATTATTTTTATTAAGAAATGTGGATATTATATTGTTATGTTATATTGTGGGGAATATAATCATATTATTATTTTATTTATATTATTTATAATCAAAGAAGTTATCTTTAAATTATGATCATACTTTCCGGGAAGTCTATAAGCTTCCATACAATATATATTATATATTTATTTATTTTCTTATGATTTATATTTATATTTTAAAGAATTGTATTTTTATTATTTAAAGAAGTAAAATTCAAACAAATAAAGATAACTTTTGAACAATAAATATCTGAATGTTTTTAAATAATTGTGATGATTATTTGAACATTTACACTAATGTAAATAAAAAGTATTGTTGGTGATAATTAATTGATAGTTAGTAATTTCAATTAATTAATAATGAAATTTTTATTTAAGAAAAGAGCTAAAGTCAAGATTATTTAATGAATTATCACTACTTGTATAACTTTCAAAACCTTTTGATTTAGCAATCTCTTCATCTAATATTCTGCTTGTATGGTGTGCATCTGGATGTGATTTGTGTACTTGTTGTGAAACAATACCATTGACACCATTATCATAAACTTCTTTTAGTTTATCATCAGCGAAAAGAAAAAGCTCTAGAATGGTTGGTCTTTTTGATGGATGTGTATCCCAACACCTCTGCATCATTTGCACATAATCATCAGGCATTCCAGGTAATATTGGTGGTCGTAAACCTTCTTCACATATATCAAAAATTAAATGATGATCATGAGCTCTATCATCAAATGGTGGATGACCTGCAAATATTTCCCACATTAACATCCCAATGCTATATATATCTGATTCTTTTGTGTTCTTTTCACCTCTAAGTAACTCAGGTGCAACATATGATACAATTTCATAGACTTTATCTGATGATTTTTCATCATCAACTGGTCCACATAATCCTAAATCTATAATATAACAATCTCCTCCTTGTACAAGTATATTACCACTATGTAAATCACAATGGATTAAATCTTTCATATGTATATTATATAGTGCATTACATAAATACCTAAAGATTAAAATTCTGTCTTTTAATGTTAAATTTAAATGATTTTTTTGTAAATAGCTCCCTAAACTTCTATCTGGATAATAACTTGAAATCATTGCATAATTTCCATTGTCTGGGAATTTAGTTATACCATAGCATTGAAGAATCATCCCTGACTTAATTTTACAATAATTCATTGCCTGAAATTGAATATAAAATCAATTAGTATTATAATATAATACAGTATATACAATATTATTTTAAATTACAACTACCAACCTCATCAAAAAAGCCTTTTCCTGGATTACTTGAATCATTTAAACTTTTTAACATCACAATTTGCATTCCAAAATAACTAAATTCCTTTTTATTTTCATCATAATCAATTGTTCTTCCTCTTTCCCATTCAGCAGTATAAACTGAACTAAACCCAACTTCAGTTAACTTTGTTACATTTTTAAATTGCTCAAAAGGTATCCATTCTAAAATATAGCCTGGCAAAGGTGATTTCATTTGACATTGTTGAATAAAATCATCAATTATGCTATTTCCAGATGTCCAGGTAATGAAAAGATTCTGTAATTGTAAACTGATGCAACCTTCACAGAATTTATCAGAGTATCTTATCAATTTACACTTGTTACATTCTTTTTGTTTTCCCTCTTTATATCTTGCATTTCTTAATTCAACCTCATAAACAAACATTTCTTTACAAAATTCTTTTTCATTTTCAGAAAGCTCCTTGTTTTTTTTGATTAATGAAAAAAAATAATCTTTTCTACCTTCTTTATCAGAGTTAGCTGTTGCATTATTATACATTTCATTGTTAATTTTATATACAAATTCCTTCCTTTCTGGTGATAATAATTTAACATATGACATTATATGAAAAATAAATATATAAAATTTTAAATTTTTGACTTGATCAATCTATTGAATATAGTGGAGAAAACGATTTTTTTTGTTCCGAGAATAACATTAGTCAGTCCGTTTATTTATTCATCCATTTATTTATTATTATTATTAATTCAATTCTTTATATTATTCCTTTTGCAGAGCGATGATTTTATGCCAAGCAAAATTGCCGAATAATGCATCCAAAATTGCTTAATAATGTATTAGTGAGTGTGTAGGTAGTCCTTATGATGGAATATTTCCTTTTTTGGATTTAAATTTAACCCAAATTATAGTGCTGCGGTCACCTTCAAGTACTTTTAAATCATAGTGCTAACGATAGAGTTTTCCCAATCTTTAACCAATTATATATAAGATTAAAAGAACATCCAATTTTTTTGTGATCATTTTATGAGTGGGAGCCGTTGACGACCATCGCTCATAAAAAAAAAAAAATCTGATTTATGAAATTAATAATAATGATAAAAAATTTCAAATAAATTTCTATAACTGCATAATTAATAGTTTATTGCAGCATAAATCGTCGTCTTTGCAGAAAATCGCTTGAATGGCATGCAACAAATAATTCTCTCTGGTGATAATAATTCAGATTTTTACATTAATTGGGAGGGTTTGAATGGTTAAATGGTTTATTTAAATTTTTTCCCTATCTGGATTTAAAGAAATCTTGAAAATTTGAAAAAAACAACGTCATCACCAAACTCTAGTTGATTGATGCTAGTAATTTAGCAATAAAAGGATTCTATTTTCATCGCCTTTAAAACTTACAAAAACCCGTACCTAACCAAACCTGTCTTATTTACTATTCATTCTACGTAACAGCTTATGTGTGCTTCAAATTCAGACACTAATTTTATCGTGTATTTTATTATTACGTGTAGTTAACTTCAAAAAAAAAAACGAAAAAACATCAAAGCCAACTGTATGCGCTGATTTTGTTTGAACCCCCAAAATTTAGTACGATACGATGAAGAGAGTCAGTCAATAGACTCAACGTACGTTATTAGTAAATTAGGATATACTAATCAATCAATCCTTGTATTAATTGAATTTAGACTCTAGTATAACAAATGAGAGATACGTTTTATTTTAATATTTATTTCTTTGATTTAAAATTCATATTATGAAAACAATTAAATCGCTCAAGTTTAAAACAGTCAAGCGCACGTAATATATAATATTCTAGAAGAAGATATTTATCCGTAATTTCCAACCTTGCAACAAACTGCAAAACCCGGAGAATACAAAACGCTTACCGAATATAAAGTGAAAACTACTTGGGGAAGAGCATAAAATGAAATTACAGCAATTGCATCTATTGATTATATCGGGAAAAAATCTACTTGTAAAATTCAATGGATTGATAAAGATACTTGCAAAAAAACAAGTTCAATCAAACAAATCACCATCTAAAGCATAATATCAAGTTGGCCAAAAAAACTCTATCATGAAATAAATTCTAAAGGATAATACTTCACTAAAAATCATATTCAATAATTAAGAACCACATAGTAATAATTTCTTTTTATATGTGTATATGGGGCATACTGCATTGGTATTACCCAAAAAATTTCAGGGATCAAAATTTAGTTATTATCATGTTCCATTTGTTAAGTGATATATAGAACTATCCCTATATAAAAATAATTAATATGACTATGAAACCTAAAAATTATAGCACCATTAGAAGTATTTTAAGAAAGAACAAGGGGAAAAAATCGCTCCTTACATTTTCAAAATAAATGATACTTAGACACTTGAAACTTATTTAAGAAAAGAAAGGATTGATTACCTATGAAATTTACCAAGAAGAAAGAAAAATAATAAATATCAGAAAAAGAAAGCAAGCATGAAGATGTATTACTACAAAAAACAGAAACCTTTGAAAGGAAAATAGTAAGAACAAATTTATTACCTATTTTATCTTTCTTGATGAGATTTCTGAAACCAATACTAATGTTTCCATTCTAACCATCCATAATTCAAAAAGCCCACTTTGTGACTGAACACTAAATGCTTTTTTTTTGCTAAAACTTAATAAGTAATCATGACTAAAAAAGAATGTTTTAATTGTCACAATATAAAAGAAGGTTTAATCATTAATTGATGAGATGAAGAAGAAAGAGAAATCATCAAATTTTGCTGCTGAGAATTCTCAAAATCTAATTCAGCAAGAATTAGACAATAAATATTGCTGATTGAGAAAAGAATAAAAAAAGAAATTTTAGTAAAGGTTAAAAGTAAATTATTGGCCATGGAAGAAAAGAAATAAATGATTATGGTCAAGACAGATATGATAGAGTAGCTACTTGGTGTCTACAATGCAAAATAATTTTACTACTTCATCAACATTTTTATCAATCACCGTTTTAGTTTTCCATTGAAGCATCCTTTTAATATTACCATGAACTCTTGCTAAAAGACCATTGTTTACCAAGTGATTTCTGATATTCCCAAAATAAGTTCTACCAATCCCTAACATATTGAGATAAGTTTCTTGGCAAAATAGTGTATTATGATAGAAATTTCTTTTATTAAATCTGGTTTTCTTTTTAAGGCGTCTACTAGTGCATATTGATCCACCATCCATTGCTTTAAGTTTGCCCATTAAAAATATGTCTTGTTGGACTTAGAAAGAGCTTTAAAGGATTTCCTTAATTCCGCAAATTGTTCATTGGGGATTCTTGAATAACAACCATAATCATAACCTTTTTCTAAAAAGCTAATCGTCTTTCCATATTCATTAGAACCATTATACTCATTACTTTTCATATACCTATAACCCTATATATATAATTTTTTTATGTTCACTTTGTATGGTTTTGTTGTAACGTTCCCCACTTGAATATCGTAGTAAACAAATTTGTTATGTTGATTCACAATGCTTCGGATGATTGATATCAAATTCATTTCTTATTAAATAAAGAAATATCAAAAAAATTTATCATATTACTCTTCCAAATAAACTATATAATATAATACTTAAAGATATCAAGAAATAACAACCATAAGTTCTACTTTAACGATTATAAATGCAATATTTGAAATATCGTCATCATGCAATACAAAAGTCACGTCGCCAAAGTTTCCACAATACGTATATACGAATATGATCCCTCAATGAGTAAATAAATTAATTTTTTTGTGTGCAAACCAAACGTATTGGTTTCAAAATCCACAACACAAAGCAAGATTAAAGCGAAGAGTAGGTAAGTGTCAATGATCTAAATACTCTCATTATCAATTGAAATCAATAAATCTTCACATATCATTACCATCAACAAATATTTATTGGTGCATCAAATCCATTAACAACAACAATACATTATACAGATAACTTGTCATAGAGATGAAAACAAGTTTTTTTTGGAGTCTTCAGGTTGGGCTCTTTCTAATTTTCTAACATTTAGACAAATGGATATAATACATATTGTGAAACTTTAAAAACTTATAAAAAGGAGGCTCAAATGAACTAAAGTTAAAAGCAATTCCTGCGCTTGATGAATTCGAGGTTAAGTGATATATTTATTTATTTATTTATTTATTTATTTTTTGCAGTAAAGCATATCTGGGAACATTTCCAAGCCGAAGGAACACAACATTACAACATTTGGATCATCGTGTCAGCTTGTTGAGTAACCATTGTGTTCAATGTTTGCTGTTAATAGTTTTTACTACATAATCATGCTCACAATGCTTGGCAATCAGAGTAAATCTCTAACTACCTTTTTTATAAAATATGAAGGAAAGGATTCTCGATTTCTGGAAAGATGTTGAATTAACCAAAAAAAGAAAAAAATAATGTGAAATCTTAGAAGATTTAGATGTAAGTAATTACTTCAATCCTCAACTTCTATTCTATCCTAATAATACTTAACCTAGAATCTCTTAGTTTGAATTCACTTTGGATCGTACAATGGAACACAATAAAGAAGTGGAAGAAAACCGAAAACTAAAGCGTATCTTTGAAAATCATGATGGTAAGAGCAGAATACATGAATACTTAATAATGTGAACAAAAACTTGATAATAAAATAGCAACTGTCTTTGGAAGACGATCCATTGATTTTTACATCATCTCAAGGGTCAAATTATATTAGAAGGTCACCACCCACTTCACCACAATTCAAATTATTGCAATAATATGATTTTCATTTTTTAAAAAAACAGCATATTTATGATGATAAAACATATAAGATAGAAAAAAAGGACCAAAAACCAAATCCGCCCATAGACACAACTCTAAATATCAATATTGATATGCCTATGTGTATTTAAAACTTAGACACTAAAGCGCGTTTTTATTTTATTAATAATATCACGCGCAATTAGCAAAGATCAAAAAAAAGTATATCAAATTAATACACACACTCTCTGTAGCCTATGTATGTTTCAAACTCGGGCATTAAAGGCAATGTGAACGCGATTTGATTTTTTCTTTTTATGAAATGCATATTAAAGAAGAAATATTAGTAAAATTTGTAATAGTTGTATATAGTAATAATAAAAGAAATATCAGTAACAAATTAACTATTGAAATTTTCTCCATGGCATAAAATACTAGTACCATATTATATATACTATATATACAAAATAAGTCATTCCTGTAAGTAAATATTAATTCATAAAAGATGTTAGATGTGCTTCATGATTTAATGTTGTATAAAAATAATATTTAATTCAAGTATTTAACATTAGACATCAATGTCAATTTTTTTGGAAAGCATGAATGTTTTGTATGATGCTAAAACAATCATAAATATCGTAGAAATTCAACAACTTTGAGTTCTCTCAGAAGAAAAATAAATACTCATTTAACATTCTAATAAAATAAACTCTAATAGAATCATTATTTTGAAAATTAATCCTTAAATAAAAACAACGCTTTTATTTTCTTTGTTTACAAGTGTAATGCCTTGGTAAAAAACCTCGTTTTATTTTCTTTAGAGAGCAAACAAAAGTTAGGTCAACTAGTGAGCGTTAGCAACAATTGTAATTTGCTTTAATGAGTAAGAAAGGGTTAGGACTAACGTTGGTTAACTAGTAAGTGTTAATGAAGTATTTGTCTGAAGGTTAATTGAAAATACTTTATAATCATAAATGTAAGGTGTTAAACAAGCCTACTTGAGTTGTTTTGTAAGTGAGTTTGCAATTAGCCAAATAAATATAATAACTGAAATAAACCGGTCATAAGTGAATTAAAAAAGCCTTTGAGCTTTGTAAAAGAGCCACATCTATTTACTTACAGTTATCTGGTACCTTAAAGAAGCTTTCTAGCTACGAAAAGTTATTCATGAACTTATTAATTGACTAGCATCAAATTATTGAAAATAGTTAAGCCGTAATTGACATCACCCAAAAAAGCTACGTTGCAATATCACCATTTAACAAGAATTAGAAAACTGTAAAAAGTTTATTACTTCAAAATATTATTATAATTTAACTTAAGAAATGGAACAAAAATAAAATACAAAGATAAGTAATTATAACATATAAATATATAGTGGAGATTAAATTAGTCATTCATCGATTATTATTAGAATCTAAAATAAATAAAAAATATTGTTAGTAATAATTAATGGATAGTAAGTTCCAATTAATTAATTAATAATAAAAATTTTATTCACCTTCAGCATTTAAGAGAAGAGAGTTAAAATCAAGATCATTTAATGAACTATCATTGCTTGTATAACTTTTAAAGCTTCTAGATTTAGCAATCTCTTCATCTAATATTCTACTTTTATGGTATGCGCCTGGATGTGATTTGTGTACTTGTTGCAAATCACTACTACCACTAGCATAATGGACACTCATTTTGTGCAACAGTCATTTGTATAATAGTCAGGCGGTTACACAGAGTCCGTTGCTTCTGAAACTTCACTAGAATATAGCTGTAGCCTCTCTAAGTCCAGATCATTAGCAAGATCAAAATTATCTCACACTTTTATATAATCAAACTTTTGCAAGAACTTTCACCATAACATATGTTATGTTGATCATTTTTTTGTGATCTGCAACATGCGTATTTTTTATGGTATCCCCTTTTCTCTAAAAAAGGAAACCGTGTAACAAAATATTTCTTCAAATTGTTATTAACATTATTAGTGTTTTATTAGTATTATGAAATTTCAATCACTAAGGCTTCTGGAAAATCGTTACATTTATAAAATTATTAGAAGTTTTTAATCAGGATACATTTAGTAAGTTGAAATAGATAGAAGTATTACGATAAAAAAGAAATTTTCTGTGTTTCGAATGAGCTTTTTTATGCCATTGATATTTTTACATCATTAAATCTTTCCATAGCTCTAATCTATATTACTTATACTATCTTGCATGCTAATTTGGTGTTCATATCTTTGAAAACGGAGTAGTAGTAGTGTTTTGAAAACAGCATGTTTTATTGGCATTTTATTAGTATCATGAACTTTCGATCACCAAGGCTTCTGGAAAGTCGTTACATTTATAAAATTGTTAGAGATTTTAATTAGGATGCATTTATAGAACAATGCTATGGGGTGAGAATCCTTTATAATGGATTTGGAAGTAGATGGCTTGTACAGAGCGTTTAACTTCATGAAAACGGATCTAGTTATTACCAAACTATACTCCTATCGCATTTCCAAGGGCAAACCTGGCACAATCAAATTCTGTATTCGCATTTAACAATATGCAGATCAAAGTACTATTATTGAGCTGAATGTAGCTTTAAAAACCTTTATCCTACAGGACATGTATTTAATAAATGTGAAATAGAGGCATGACAAGCAATAAAAAGGCTGGATTTCCATTACTAACATCCACGTTAACGCATTTAATAGCTCTTGAAGTATAGATCATGTTACATTTTTTATCTTTAATTTAGATTTTTTATATTATACTTTCTATTTATGATTGCATCATCCATTATATTTGCAGGAAAAGGTTACATCTCTAGCCAAAGATTTCAAATTCTGGCCTAAAGATTTTACGCCAGTAAGAAGAGCAAAATACGTAAGGGATTCTCCACAGTTAAAGTTACCATTGAAATAATGGAAATTGGCTCGAAAATATAATTATTGTAGTTGCTGTAATGCAACTGTAATGAAATTAAATTTTACCAATCAATTGATCAACTGATTATAATAATAATAAATTTACCGTTTTGTTTTTTAATTATTGTTTCTATTAAAAATTTGGTGTCCTTAAAATTCGCTTTCGCTCTTCTAGAAAATCAGTTCTTTAATTTATTAATGGAAAATAATAATAATTATCCTCTCATTTCCTTTTTATTAATATTTTGTTCATTAATAAAATTACTCCGGTTTTATTTTTTTTTCTTTTGGAAAAAAAATTTTGAGTTATCAATATTATAACATTGCTGCAAAAACTTTGTCAATAGAAATTATAGAATATGGTAATATAGTAGGGGAGAAGCTGATTACACGCAAACCTATTTACATTTTTAGCAAAGACTGATAAAAAAATACCAACTGTGTAATATTAACCTAATTGAGGCTTACAATTGTAAAAAAAAGCATTTTAGGAACTATTAGATAAAGATATCATAATTAGGACAACAATCAGATATTTTGTATTTAAAATCAAATTTTGGTAACGAATTTTAATTCATGCCCTGTAAAATTTACTCCATATAATAATAATATTTTTAAAATAGTAGAATTCTGAAAAAATTGAAAAAAAGTTTAGTAAAGAGATATTCATTTAATAAATAATTATTACTATTACTATCATTATAAGTACTTTTAATAATAATAATAATAATAATAGACATGATGACGATGGTGATAATAGTAAAAATGATGATGATGGTAAAAAAAAACAATCATGATAATCACGTGCAAGTACATCATTATCATCAGATAAAATAGAGGTTGGAATCTACTAATATAGTCAATTAAAAATTTTTTTTGAACAACTAATAGTCAATGCCAATGGTGGTGGTGTTGTTGATGATAATTTTACATGTGAACTAATAAACATTTCCGATACAAGGTCCAATGATTTAAGCAACGGTTCCGGAAGACCTTTAAAAAACAAAACGTAATGAATGGTTTTGTGTGGAAGTATTTTGAAAAAGTGAAAGATTCAAATGGAAATGAATTCGTAATTTGTATATTAAAAAAAATTGTTAATATTAATAACAATATTAAAAAAAAATTTAGTCGACTAAATAATCAACTAAAGAAATTTTGACCAGCTAATTGTCGACTAAGGAATTTAAACGACCTTTTGTCCATTTTGGCTTGCCATAGTATGCACCATAAAAATCAGTGAATTGTTATAATCAGTTGATCAGTTAAATCGATTGATTGGTAAAATTTAATTTCATTACAGTAGACAGTTTCGAAAATTTTAATTATATAGGTCAAATTATGTTCTTTCTAATATTATTGCAAACCTTAGGGTCAAGTTATATATTACTTAATTTTGGTCTGGTCAAATCATATAACAAACAGAAACATTTGTTACTGACCTATCTATAAAGTTTACGGGATCCCATTGCAGCATGCCCCATATTATTATAGACGAGCTTGTGTGATATCAAGACAAGGATTACTGCAAGCAAGTCTGTAACAAGACCATATCTTTTTTAATTAAATGAAGCTAGGTTAATTGGATATGTCATACAATGCTCCTAAACAGAGGTCAAATGCAAAACTTTTACCCTTCGCAACAATTGGAACAAGAAACAAAAATAATTTAAATGGTTGCATTAATAATACAAAAGCGATAAAAAAATTTGATAATATTATCAAATTATGATTATTAGAGCTTATCAACAATTTATCTAGTTCCAGTAAAGAAATACAATTCTATAAATTTCTGAAAAATGAATACTTTGATATAAACGTAGAGGTTGGCACCGCGCAAAAATTCTTTAACCGGTTAATTAACCGTTAAAATTAAGGTTAACCGAGTTACTTTTAGAAATGGTTAACCGGTTAACTTTATTAACCGGTTAATTTAGTCATGTGGAATTTTTTAACTGGTAAATTCAATCGTTCACTACTTACAAAATAATCACGCGCCTGTTGAATTTTATTATTACGCGCTTAATAGATTACAGTCAAACCTCGCCACAGCGGATTCATAGCTCCAGCCAAAAAAATCCGTTATTATTATTATTATTATGCCAAAAAATTCGCAGCGGCAAAATTGTTGATTGGGCAAAATTTTTTTAATAATACAAAGTTCTCTTTCTATACCGAACCATATGTATTTTTCTGCTTTTGTTCGTTATAGAGAAAATTAATTATTAGTTGGAACTTTTTTGTTGGATATTGCTAAATCCGCACATATTAATATAATAATAAGATTGCTCAAAATCCGTAACACTGCTTTTTCCTTACTTGGGATAGATTGTATGATTTTGGTTTTGATCTACTATTTTTTTTTTTTTTTGTAAATTAAATGTTGTTTGCCATTTGTGGTACGGAAAATAAGACGTTGTAGAAGAGTACTCATTATACATGAGCGAACGAACGATCGAACGATCGAACAGATCGAATGAGCATTGAGCTGATAAAAAAAATCAATTTTTACTAAACACAGTTTTTTGGGAAACATGAGATGAAAAAAATGAGGCGTTTCTTTGATTTAGTTAAAAATTTTTATGCATATCGTTAATGATTATTATTTTTATTTATTTATTGATTTATATATTATTTATTACTAATTATTTTCACTATTCGTTCATCTGATGTTAAAAAAATTGATCTTTCCTTATCTTTTTGGTTTTATTTTTTTATCTACCACGTCCATCTATCGGAGAGGTTTCTTTTCTTTTGTTTGCTGTGGTTTAACCTTTGATCAACTAACTCCAGAAATAATCAATAACCGATAATAACTAAAAATAATAAAGATAATAATAATAATAAAAAATAAAAAATAAATTGTTTGTTTATGTAGCAAACAAAGTAGTCTATCTATATATATACAACAAACAAAAATTACGCTAGTACTAAAATGTATGATTATAAAGTAAACACGGTCGTCGCGTAATAAAAATAACATTTGGACAATGAATGAATGTGCCGTTGCAAAGTTTTTGTTCCGTTCGCGAATTAGTCATTTTTTTCGATTGTGATTTTTAATTGTGATCCTTCTTCCCTTTCCTACAACCAACAACATAGTAAAGATTAATGTCCAGAGGACCACTTCATACTTCAATATTAATGGTATCCCGGCATCGAGTGCCAGTTTCCCATCCAAAACGCGTTCGCGCTTACCGTTCACAAAACACAGGGCCTCACATTACCGCACTCGACTTTGACCATTGACGAAAATATGTTTGCTGCCGGTCAGATCGATGTGGCGATGAGCAGGACCCTTCGACTTTGACTCTTTGAAAGTGGATGAAAGGGTCATTGAGGGGTACATGAGATTGAGGGCGATTAATTAAGTGCGATGTGTTGATTGGTATTTTTTAATAAATGTTATAAATGTTATAAATGTTATAAATGTTATAAATGTAGTTATTAAAATTATTAAAAAAAAATTTTAATTTTTTTTTTCTATATATATGTGTGAGATTGATGATCCACAAACTCACTTGAACAGGAGACCGTCCTATATAAGGAATGAATTTCATAATTTGGTCAATTTTTTTTATACAGTTTAAAATACTTTTACAAGGGTATTACGTAGCCCGTTCTTTCAATAAATCATGTGTAAATGATTACACAAATTTGATTGAAGCTTTACTATTACGTTTTGTTATCATCATATCTTTTGAATCCCTTTGAATCTCACAGCTTTCATAATACGATTTGCTCGAAGAAAAAATCTCTGAAATTAAACGTTGCACGGAATGTAAAACCATTAAATCAGCTAAATTTCGTCAACTGAAAGGCAATAAATGGAAAGAAGCTGAGAACAACAACTTAGTGAAGGTAACGTGGACTGAAGGTGTTGTTTTATGTAACATTTGTTTGATTTTTCATGCGTTGTTCATTTTTCGTCTCGATCATGTATCTCAATTTTGTTGTGTTTACCATCATTTCATTGACATTCGTTATGTTAAGGTTATTTTGATTATATCGAGAGATATGGTCAAGAGAAGAGTTAGGAAGAGAGTTATTCTTCAACCAAGTCAA